TCAAACGGTAGAAACAGCTCTCAAATGGACTTTGGCTATAGGTAGTAATTCATTGGAAACTCCTTTCGAGGACACTAACAGGTGGTTGGGAGTTAAGTGGCTTTTTCTGGCAGACTTGTTTTTTTCTGGTGACTCTTAGAATTAGTGTCAGTGGGAAGACAGCTTGCAGTAATCAGACTCAGTGAGTGAGTTTCTTTGTGGAGTGTGACTTGAGATATGAAGTGACAGGATTGATAAGGGTCTTCAGTGAAAGGGAATTAGGAGTGTTGGGATGGAACTGACAGAAAATAATGGAAATTGGTAAGGACATCTGGTTTAGGTCAGCAGAGCAACATAGGAAAAAGGAGAGCCTTATTAGTTGTGGAAAGGAAGGGCAGTTTTTTAGTTAGGCTAGCTAGGGAGATGGACTTCTTGCAGAGGTGGCTACTGATCTGTTGGCCTTCATGAGTTGGGTGTTAGTAGATAGTTGCTTTTGAAATACTACTTGTTATATGGAACTTAAAAGTAGACACAACACTTGTTCTTTGATCTCACAACTTAGAGTAGAATACAGGTGGTCAGGGGGTTGCTAGTTTTCTTCCTCTTTTCTCTTTTAAGAAAAATAAAAGCATTCTGTTTGTACTTTGTGCTCTACTTCCCTAAAAAGCACTGTCAGGCTTGTTAGCTATCAGCCAATTATTTTTTTAAGAAGACTTTTATTACATTTTTCTTTAAAGAATGTGTAAATATCCTTACCAAGAGTACATTTCTTTCTTACTGTTTTTCGAAAGAATCACCAACTGAAAAAAAAGTTCCAAGGCGTATTATTACTGCAGAGATGAATTAGGGAGTTATCAGGATATTGCAGAAGTACCCCAGATGCCAAAATACACGAGTCAGAAAAACTTAGGTCCAGTTTTTCCCTGTTGGTGATTTAATCTCTGGAGCAAAGCTTAATTAAATATCGCATGAATATGCCTTAAAATATGAAATATGCCTTAAAACAACATGACATTAATTAACTTAATAAACTTATTGAATAAAGACATTTCGTAGATACTGGATATATGAAGATGAATAACACATGGCCCCCACCCTTAAAGAAATTATTATTTAGAAGGATGAGATAGAAATATATGCCAAAATATATGGATGGTAACAATTAGGCAAAAAAGAGGGGGAATAGTCAGTTCTGCTTTGGGATATGGGAATGCCTGAAAAAGCTTATTAGAGCAGGTGAGTTTTGAGAACGAGTTGTTCACTATGTAGCTGCAGATGGGCTGGGGCATAGGGGTGGCAAGGATGCTCAATCTAGTCAGGAATATTATCGCCAGTGCCATAGAGGACTGAGATCGTGATATTACAAATACTTTGCTACAGGTAATGGGAAGGTTGTGTGTGGAGTGGGAGGAGATGATGCTAGAGAGGTTGTCAGGGAAGGTTTAACTTTATCCAGAAGATTCTTAAATGGGTAATTAATAAAATCAGGGAAAGATTATCTGGCAAGTAGAAGGGGACAAGATTCCAGTAAGAGCTATCAGTTTGCAGATATTAAAGTAATCAAGCCGGAAATGACATGGGCCCAAAGTCTCAAACTAAGTGATGAAAAATCGAAATGGAAATTAGGAGACAAAAAGGTGTATTAGAAACAAGACACGGGACTGATTTTGTGTGTGTGGTAAAGGAGAGGGAAGCATCAGGATGACTTTCAGATACTATGTCTTGGAGAATTTTAGAAAATGCCAGTGACATTTGAGGAGAAGCTATTTTAAAAGGAATAAATAATTAGTTTGCTGCTTGAGCATGCCAAGTTTGAGCTGGTAATAGATACCCAGAAAGATGTGTTCTGTAGGTATTTGGATCTGGAACTTCAAAAAAGGGGTTATAGTTAAGAATCAAGAGTTATCAGGATTGAATTGTTTGAAACCATGTAAGTAGATACAATAATCTAGGAATTCAAGAAGAAAAGTGTGGCCTGGTGCGGTGGCTCATGCTGGTAATCCCAGCACTTTGGGAGACTGAGTTGGGGGTATCCCTTGAGCCCAGGAGTTTGAGACAAGCTTGGGCAACATGATGAAACCCTGTCTCTACAAAAAATACAAAGATTAGCTGGGTGTTGCGATGCATGCCTGTAGTCCCAGCTACTCAGGAGGCTGAGGTGGGAGGATCATCTGAGTCCAGGAAGTTGGGGCTGCAGTGAGCCATGATCACTCCACTGCACCCCAGCCTGGGTGACAGAGGGAGACCCTGTCTCAAAAAAAAAGAAGAAAAGTGTCAAAAACAGAGCATTAACATTTTGGGAGTGGGTCCAAAAGAAGAGCTGGTAAAGAAGACTGAGAGGGAATGGTCTGAAAAGAATCCACTGAATTTGTCAGTTAGATGTTGGTGACTATTGTTAAGGTGGTTTCAGTGATGTGTTAGGAGTAGGATCCAAATTACAAAATAGGCTGGGTGCGGTAGCTCATGCTTGTAATCCCAGCACTTTGGAAGGCCGAGGCGGATGGATCATGAGGTCAGGAGATTGAGACCGTCCTGCCTAACACGGTGAAACCCTGTCTCTACTAAAAATACAAAAAAAAAAAAAAAAAAAATTAGCCAGGCGTGGTGGCGGGTGCCTGTAGTCCCAGCTACTTGGGATACTGAGGCAGGAGAATGGCGTGAACCCAGGAGGTGGAGGTTACAGTGAGCCGAGATCGCGCCAGTGCACTCCAGCCTGGGCGACAGAGCGAGACTCCGTCTCAAGAAACAAAACAAAACAAATTATAGAATAATTCTGTATTGTATTAGTGGTATTTATGCATTGAATTATACCTTTAAATATTGTATTAAAATAATATGTGATATATATACATTTAGAGACTTAGACAACCAGCTCTCATGTGCCTACTATATAGTTTTTTAAACTTTTATTTTTAAATAATTATAAATTAAATTCCTATAAATCATAGGAAGTTGCAAAAGTAGTACAGAGAGGTCCTCCTATATAGACTTCACTCAGCTTCCTCCAGTTACCATTCAGTTTAACAAGTGTCCTGGGTTAGTTCAGATGTTAATGTCTCGGGCTGGGTTATAGAACCATACAGGGAATATGGATGTGGATTCCATAGCCCTACCTGGTGTAAGCCTTCTTTCCCTGCCTCCACTAGGAGCAGAGCAAATGCAAGCTGCTTTGCTGTTTCTCAGAATGTATGGATGGAGCTTTTCCAGCTCCTTTTTACATATTGGGCAGCTCTTTTTAGGATTTTGGCTCAAAATAGGGATTTGACTTGTAGCCCTCCCCTGAAATAAGCACAAAGGTGGATCTTCTGGCTCTATAGGCCCAATATACCCTTATTATAGACTGCCTTGGTGTCAGCTGAGGTGACATCTGTGGCTTTGAGTTTCTTCCTTTCTGTCACCAAGAATTTCCCTCTCCCAGCTTTTCTCTCCCTTTTGGAGTTCAGCTGTATATTCTAATTTTTCATGTTGATCTAGCATTTCAGTGATACTGTTTGGTCACATGGATGTATTAGTCCAGTCTGCCTTGTTGCTTGAATAAGAAGTCCAATAAAATTTCTTTTTTCGAATAAAATATTTATTAATTGTATTCGCTGCTTTGTTCCACAAAAATGATTTGGGGTTGTATTATATTATTCTCTCTTTAAAAATATTGTGTGTGTGCTATTATTATTATTAATTGTATTCGCTGCTTTGTTCCACAAAAAATGACGGTTGGGGTTGTATTATATTATTCTCTATTTAAAATATTATTATTATTACTACTACTACTACTACTACTACTACTACTACTACTATTTGAGACAGTCTCACTCCTTAGCCCAGGCTGTCGATCTGTGCAATACTACTACTACTACTACTACTACTACTACTACTACTACTATTTGAGACAGTCTCACTCTGTCGCCCAGGCTGGAGTGCAATGATGCAATTTTGGGTCACTGCAACCTCTGCCTCCTGGGTTCAAGTGATTCTCTTGCCTCAGCCACCTGAGTAGCTGGAGTTACAGGCACGTGCCATCACGCCTGGCTAATTTTTGTATTTTTAGTAGAGATGGGATTTCACCACATTGGTCAGGCTGGTCTCAAACTCCTGACCTCATGATCTGCCCACTTCAGCCTCCCAAAGTGCTGGGATTATAGGCTTGAGCCACCGCTCCTTGCCAAAAATATTATTTATTTTTAAAATGGGTAATATATGTATGTGGTCTAAAGTTAGATTAAAAAAAGAGTATGCTTTTTCTTTTCCCTGTTACCCTAGCCACCCCAGCCCAATGTCTCTTTATAGATACAACTGGTTACCAGTTTCTTATGTATCCTTCTAGAGGTTAACAATGCACTAGGTCATTGGTTTTTTGGTTTTTTTTTTTTTTAGATGGAATATCGCTCTGTCACCCAGGCTGGAGTGCCGTGGCACAATCTCAGCTCACTGCAAGCTCCACCTCCTGGGTTCACGCCGTTCTCCTGCCTCAGCCTCCCGAGTAGCTGGGACTACAGATGCCCACCACCACGCTTGGCTAATTAAAAAAAATTTTTTTTTTAAGTAGAGGCGGGGTTTCGCCTTGTTAGGCAGGATGGTCTCGATCTCCTGACCTCATGATCCACCCGCCTTGGCCTCCCAAAGTGCTGGGATTACAGGTGTAGCCACCACGCCTGGCCAATAATGCACTAGTTTATTCTTTAACAGAGGTTTTAAACTTTAGTGTTTATAATTTAATTTTGTAGCCAATATTCAGGATTTTTCCATCTATTTGAGGTAGTAGCAATTGTATTTTCTTCTGCTTGCTTTTGAGTTACAGCTTTACACTAGTTATGTGTTACATGTATGTCTTTATATATGTGAATGGATTATCTGTGTTTTAATTTTTGTTCACAAACTCCTCAGAATGTGACAAAATAAACTGTTGATTAGGATATTTTAAAAAAATATTCTGTGTATAGTGATCAAATCGGAGTAACTGGCATATTCATCGCCTCAAACATTGATCGTTTCTTAGTGTTGAGAACATACAAAATCCTCTATTAAAACTAATGGAAAGCTTCATGAATTTGTATGTTATTTTTGGGCAGGAGCCATGCTAATTTTCTCTATGTTGTTCCAATTTTAGTGTTTATGCTGCGGAAGTGAGCACTGGCCCTAATTTTTAGGAGGTAGTGGAAATGATATTTTAAGATGCTAGAAATCTTATTGAAACACATTGTAGCTATCCTTAAAAATTGTAGCTGGGTGCGGTGGCTCACGCCTGTAATCCTAGCACTTTGGGAGGCTGAGGCGGGTGGATAACCTGAGGTCGGGAGTTCGAGACCAGCCTGACCAACATGGAGAAACCCTGTCTCTAGTAAAAATACAAAATTAGCCAGGCATGGTGGCTGGCGCATGCCTGCAATCCCAACTACTTGGGAGCCTGAGGCAGGAGAATCACTTGAACCCCGGAGGTGGAGGTTGTGGTGAACCAAAATCGCACAATTGCACTCCAGCCTGGGCAACAAGAGGGAAACTCCATCTAAAATACAAATTGCCCTGATTACTAACCAATCCATGCCATTGTTTGCACATGTGCAAATAATTGCCCAAAGAGTTGAGGGGGTCTGTCAAAGATAAAGGCTTCTCCTTTGGGTTCCTTAGCCACAGTTTGATTGCCTGACTGCAGCTCGGTGTGAAATTCAGTAACATGGAGCAAGAAATGGAAGCCTATGACCTAATATGTTTTCTTCCTTAGATCAACCTCTCCACTTCTCCTACACCTGCACAGTTAATAAGCCGTTCCCAGGCTTCCAGTTCTACCAGCGGCAGTATTACCCAACAGACTATGTTACTAGGGAGTACTTCCCCTACCCTAACGGCAAGCCAAGCTCAAATGTATCTCCGAGCTCAAATGGTAAGATATGAGCTACCAAATTTTTTCAGTGTTTAAGGACTTGAGAGATCAAAATGTTTCTTGATTTGATGCAATAAGAGGTATTTTTAATATTTAAGAAATGTTTAATTGTGTGTGTGTGTGTGTGTGCATGCGGGCGTGCCATCAGCTCTTGTACATTATGTCATGAAAGATTCTACTTTTAATTAATAAATCTTCTTGGTATCAAATAGTAATTATCACGTTGCGAAGCTAATAGAGATTCAGTAGCATAAGAGTGATTATTTTTTAATATCAAATTCATCGGAAACCTTTTTTTCATATTTTAACATCTCTGAAATTGGGATGCATTTTATAACTGATGGCATCTTGGTACTTACAGTGGTCCATGAAATCATTGCCTATTTTTGACAACTTAGATTTAGTGAAATAGAAATGTTAAAAAAACTTCGTTGTTAAAGTTAGAATTTGTATCCTAGGATTTTCTGAATTCTATATTGGAGTTCCGGATAGTTTCCCAGATAATTCTTAACTTTGGTTATTCCCATCTCAAGTTCTGCAAGGTTATTTGTGTTCTTGAGTTCATTTTGATCTTTTATGAATATAGGAATGTTAATTTGGTTATTCTGTATTTGGGTATCTACTGATTTCCTAATTTAATTGTTGAGCTTCTTTAAGGAATGTAGAAATTGGTTGACATGTATTTTATTTGATGTCTTTAAAGAAGCTAGACAAATGCATTGTCCCTAATATATTTATATTCTTTTTTGTCCAGTGGACTGAATATTTACCTGGATCTCCAGTTTTTTTTTGTTGTTGTTATTGTTTTTTGAGGCAGAGTCTCACTCTGTCGCCCAGGCTAGAGTGCAGTGGCATGATGTCTCCTCACTGCAACCTCTGCCTCCTGAGTAGCTGGGGTTACAGGTGCCTGCCACTGCGCCCTGCTAATTTTTGTATTTTTAGTAGAGACGGGGTTTCACCATCTTGGCCAGGCTGGTCTCAAACTGCCGACCTCGTGATCCACCTGCCTCACCTCCCAGAGTGCTGGGATTACAGACGTGAACCCCCACACCTGGCTTGGATCTTCAGTTTTTTATCTAAAATTGCAGTTTCCAATCATTTAACTAATTCTGTGCTTTAAAATTAGGTTGAACCATTTGAGATGGTCGCTATTTGACTCTTTTTGAACTCTAAAATCAGCGGTTTCATACGGGTCAAACTAAATTGAATATCTTCTTTTTAGGTTTAGTCCTTTCAGGGTCTTGGTACTGGAAATTACCTGTTCAGGGAAGTTATGCCATTTGTCCCTCGGTGTCTGTGGTGGATTGTTGCCAGGCCCCACCCTCTCTGTCCCCTAAAATACTCAAATCTGAGGATGCTCAAGTCATAGTATTTGCATATAACCCATGCATGTCCTCCCATATACTTTAAATCATCTTTACGTATAATACTTAGTATAATGTAAACACCATTTAAATAACTTATATTGTTTAGGGAATAATGGCAAGAGAAAAGTTTTTACATGTTCAATACAGATGCAGCTGTCTTTTTTTTTTTTTTAATGAATATTGCTTTGATCTACAGTTGAATGACGAACTACAGAGCCCTCCATAGATATGGAGGCCTCATTTTACTTTGTCGTTGAATTTACTTAAATTTAGTGTACTAAAGAACTGAAGTTTAAAAGGTCACTTAATTGGTCATTTAATTTTTCTAATTGTTTTTGGTCCTTGTTTGGTTGAACATTTTAACTTAGATAGCAAGAGGAACGGAATAATTTATACAATTTTTAAATAAAGTATTTACACGTTCTTTGAAACAAGTGTCAAATTTACTAAATTGAATTGATTGATCTCTAAGTGGATTGTATTGCCTTAGAAATTAATGGCATTTGGCTGGGCGTGGTGGCTCATGCCTGTAATCCCAACACTTTGGGAGGCCGAGGCGGGCAGATCACTAAGATTGGGAGTTCGAAACCAGCCTGACCAACGTGGAGAAACCCTGTCTCTATTAAAAATACAAAAAATTAGCCATGCATGGTGGCTCATGCCTGTAATCCCAGTCACTCGGGAGGCTGAGGCAGGAGAATCACTTGAACCTGGAAGGCGGAGGTTGTGGTGAGCCGAGATTGCGCCATTGCACTCCAGTCTGGGCAACAAGAGTAAAACTCCATCTCAAAAAAAAAAAGAAAAAAGAAATTAATGGCATTTGTTTGAATATTGAAAAAAATTGAGCCGGGCACAGTGGCTCACGCCTGTAATCCTAGCACTTTGGGAGGCTGAGGTGGGCGGATCACTTGAGGTCAGGAGTTTGAGACCAGCCTGGCCACCATGGTGAAACCCCGTCTCTACTAATAGTACAAAAATTAGCCTGGCGTTGTGGTGTATGCCTGTAATCCCAGCTACTCGGAAAGCTGAGGCAGGAGAATCGCTTGAACCCGGGAGGGAGAGGTTGCAGTGAACCAAGATCACATGACTACATTCCAGCCTGGGTGACAGAGACTCCGTCCCACAAAAAAAAAAAAAAAAAAAAAAAAAAAAGAAAAGAAAGGAAGGTGATAAGTAAAAATATTAAATGTCTGTTTGTTTTTTGATGTGAAGCTTTTTTTGCAGGCTCTTTTGTTGTTGAATTTTGAAAGGTGTGGCGTTTACTTTTAAAATGAATATTTCTTTTTTTTTTTTTTTTTTTGAGATGGATCTTGCTCTGTCACCCGGGCTGGAGTTCAGTGGTATGATCTCAGCTGACTGCAACCTCCACCTCCTGGGTTCAAGTGATTCTCCTGCCTCAGCCTCTCGAATAGCTGGGATTACAGGCACACCCGGCTAATTTTTGTATTTTTAGTAGAGATGGAGTTTCACCGTGTTGGCCAGGCTGTCTTGAACTCCTGACCTCCAGTGATCCACCTGCGTTGGCCTTTCCAAAGTGCTGGGATTACAGGCGTGAGCCACCGCGCCAGGCCATAGAATGAATATTTCTTTACAAATAGTTTTAAAATGAAAGGGCAACCTGGATTTGCCCTATAGATCCTTTGTAGCAGAGTGAAATATTGGAGTGTAGTATGTGGCATCGTTATCCTTATGATAAAGAGGACTGAAAAGGCTTTTTTGGTATTTCTTTTTGTTTCTCACTGAAATTTAATTTGTGTTCCAAAATAGTGACTGTAGTTGTTTACTTTAACTTTCCATTTTAGGAATCCTGCCACAGTAGTTTTGAGCTAGGAAAAATTTAACTATAATAGCTTATTTGAGACACAATTTGGTCTGAGAATTTCATATCACCAAAATATATTTTCTTTTTTGAGTACTGCTTTTTTTTGCACTCATCAGAATCATGAGCTGTTTCAAAAATGTTTATGATGTTTTTTGAGTTTTCTTATTATCAGAAACTTCTCTTTGTCATGTAAAACCTTTTGCTGAGGAGATAATCCTAAACTGCATTGTCTTTCTGTCACAAATTTCAGTCTCTCTTGCCTGCTACACATTGTGTGTGGGACATGTTCTTTTGTCTTAGGGTATTTTTTTGGTTTTCTGTCTGTACAGCTGATTTTCACACCCGCTACCACTGTGGCTGCTGTACAGTCTGACATTCCTGTTGTCTCGTCGTCATCGTCATCTTCCTGTCAGTCTGCAGCTACTCAGGTGAGCTTGTCTAGCTTCATAATGTGTTACTTGAGATCTGGATCTTCAGGTTAAAGTTAAGCATTCCTTTTGTGTTTAACTTTCTGATGGTTTCAGTGCTCTTTGTCATGCATTTCAGATTGAAATTTAATAAAATATAATGAGAACTTCAAGAAAATGTTTTTTCTGTTAAAATTATAATACCATTAAACACAGATATTTAGGTTATTTGACGTTGATTGGTCAAGGTTAATGAGACTTTTTGTTAATGACATTCTATGTTTAGTTTTATCATAAAGCAGATTTATTTCTCATGTGAGATATATTCTTTTGCTTAGATTGCTTTGCGGTATTCCTTATGTAATAACTAAGTCAAGAAGGATTTTAAGTTTGAAAGTGAATTAAACTAGACAAATTTAAAATTTTAAAAATTGGTCGGGTGCAGTGGCTCATGCCTTTAATCCCAGCACTTTTTGGAGGCCCAGGTAGGAAGATTGCTTGAGCTCAGGCATTAAAGACCAGCCTGGGCAAAATAGCAAGACCCGGTCTTTACTAAAAATAAAAAAATTTAGCTAGGTGTGGTGCTGTGCAGCTGTAATTCCAGCTTTTCAGGAAGCTGAGGCAGGAGAATTGCTCAAGCCTGGGAGATTGAGGCTG